TTCCTTGTTTGTTAGCTCTTTATATGAGTGTGCAGAAGTGATTTGAAAAACTGTAACTCCTCACAATTTCAAATTGTTGTCTACCCAGCATGTGATAAAAATTGACAAACTAATCCATTGTGCATGTTGTGGTTCAATTTTATCCTTGGTTCAAATTTGATTTTCTTTTGTTGTGGGGTATCATAATGTATGATACTGAGTTTGAAACAAAGGAAAATAAAATTTCAACCAAGGATAAAATTGAACCACAACATTCATATTACACAAAATTCTTTGAGGTCATAATAGGGAAAGGTATTGTGAAGGAGAGGTACAAATCAATTCTCAGTCGAGAGACAAATGATAAGACATTGTATAACAATTCAATAAGATTTGAACTATGAGTGATTTTGTTTTCAATTTTTTGATTTAGGTTTGTTCCTGGGGGACCACCTGTTGGAACAAGGCCTTTACCCAGCAAACCTCTTCCATCCCCCACAAAAGACATTGCTGCAATCAAGGTAAGTAAATTTAAGTCTGTACCAATTGTTTTAGTACTACCCTTTTCACGAGTAATTATTTAATTTGTTCTGCATGGGAGATGATTCCTTTTCTAAGTGGTTGAACATTTTGCTGGCAAACACAGTTGTCATTTGTGTAACTAATTTATAGCTATGGTTTCATTCCCTCAGGCTGCCATTGCAAACGCACGCTCTCTGGATGAGGTGCAAAGACTTGAGATGTTATTAAAAGCTGGTCAGGTGCCTGGAGGAAACAAACCGAATAATAATGTTGATGAAGAGATGGAAGACATGTCAAATGGCACATGAACAAACTCTGTATCAGACTGTATCATTATCAGTGTTACTTCATTCTTTTTTTTGTCTATCGACTATGTGGTCAGCCTGAGAAAAAGGCAGCAGTCCATTGAAACTGGAAATATTTATGCTTCCCTCAAAGATATTGTGGAATGTTGCTTAGTTTCAATAGCCTTTGTTGGGCATATCACTGAATACTTCATCTTACATTTGTGCAATCATTCCCTCGAAGGCAACATAGTGTTGTGTAACAACTAAACCAAAAGTTTCTTTCTTACCTTGTCAATATAAAGCTTTTTTGTTTTTGAAGTTGATAATGATTTGTCATTCTAAACATGAAAAAATGAGAATACATGCCAGTGTTGTATATTATGAAAGGTAGAGATATGAATTTTTCTGTTAAGAGACTGAACTTCAGATGGAATTACCCTATATTTCTAGATATTCTTTTAACTACTTTTACCTTCCTTTGTGTAAAATAAATAACTTGTATGTGTATCCTTTCTTATTGGCAATTGTCTCTTGCTTGCATGTTTTTGTAGAAAATAAAATCAGTGTTAAAATGCTCCCTGCGTGAATCTTCTTGCTGGGTAAACTATGAATATTTTGAGGAGTAGGTGTCCTGTGGATCATCCTATCTCCCCATTTGGCACTCCTTTTTCAGTTTTTGTCTAATTTCAACCTTTTACAACTCTTTCAGTCCCGGGGAATGATAAATTAGCAATGTCTCCGTACAATATCAATGCGCTCTCAACCAGAAAGGTTTTGAGAAGAAGGAAAAATACCACCTTAGAAATTTTGTTTGATTGAACTCAAAATTCTCCGAGCTACAATTTTGAGAATTGTATTGAATATAGAATGGAGAATCGGGTATGAGATCCTGAGTGTTAGTTGAAATTGAGAGCAAAGCAAGTGCGCGAGAACTATCACGGAGCATATGAACAACCCATCCTGTAATCTTCGACTGTGTTGAATATCCCGTGGCTCTCATTACGTTCAGGAGACTAAACGATTTTTCTCCTTAAATTTGAAGCTCATATCTTAGTGTTATAACTTTGGACATGTAAGTTGCATTCAGCGAGGAGTCCGATCGACTCTTGCCAGGACAAGCTGTCTCCACCGGTTCCGATCGCGTCTGTTTGCCAACGTCTTCAACCCTTCTCGCTCCTGTTAACCTCTTACTTCCGGTACTACTAATCAAGCGCCTTGCGCCCATTTCCGGTTCCGGTCGCAATCGGACTCAATCCGCCCGCTAGTGAAGACAACCCGACTCAAGTCGGGTGTACTGGACATGTGTGGAGTCAATACCTGATAAATCATTGTTGGTGATGAAAAAAATAAAGAGGTTTAAAAAAAATTTCGAAAAAAGTTTAGAAGAAGGTTGATTAAAATACATAGTTGTTCAAACACCCTGCATAGATGAACAGTTTCACGTTTTTCAAGCATTTCTGATGTTAGCTTTCATTTTCGACTCGAAATTGCGTTGGAAAGTGAAACTTGTCTCCCGTCAAGATTTTCAAATAACACCTCTGATATTTAAATAAATTTTTTGGCCTCATGACAATCATATGAAAACAAACTTGGTATACATACAGTGACTGATCTTGACTTTGGGGTTTGCCTTTTTTGGCTTAAGGTTAGCTGACAAGGCTTTTTTAAATTTTTCTCTCGTTGTTAACAGTTTTTGACAAAATAATCATTTTTCCAAATAATAGAATGTGTAAATGAAATCGGTGTTGGCTTCGTTTTGAGCAACCTGACAACATAACGAAGATGTGATCGTTCCCACACTAATGATTTTTTGTTCTCGAATTTCTCTGTTTTCAGGTTATTCTATCGCAGAACTCAATAATTTGAAAGCATCATCTTTTTCGAACAAGCGTCTTCTGAAAGTAAGTACGGATAATAAATCGTTGTTGATGGAAACGACCATCCATCAGTAAGAAAGATGTCGGTTGGAGATGCCATTTTTGAAAGAATTTTCAAAGTCTAGTCTCAAAAAAATTTTAAGAATAAAATCATATTACGTCATGGATGATGATTGTAGAATTGATCGCTGCAATGAAGTAGATTGTGAGTAAAACAAATTGAAAACCTGTACAGAAACTAGCTTGGAAATAGCACCTATCGTAATCACTATCTAACAGGCACGTGTTCGATCAAGCCCAGTCGAAGCTGGAATTTTTTCAAGTCTCATAAGCAGTTCTACAATGATAGCAAATATCAGTTTTAATAATTATCATTCGAGTATTAAGTTTGACGGCGTGTGCTGTTTCCAACAAACATTACATCTTAAAAGGGAACATTTCGTTTCTCAGAATGAGATGAAAAGCAATCGAAGACTGATATCTAAAATTTTAATATCGTTACACACTTAGTTTGATAAATTGTTTACCTTGCTCATGTCACAGCTGACTGATTGATCATCGCAAGAACTTTTGAGGCAGGAAGTAGCCGGAGCCGATTCCCCGACTTTGTCAGGTACGAATTTGAAGTATGTGTCCAAGGAAAAAATTTCAACTTTTGATAAAAACACGTCTTCTAGAATAAAGACGACTTTAATTGAATCAATGTCGTATCCTTGTTAATCATGAAAGTTCACTCACTCATTCTCTATCTTCTACATGGTTAGACATTGACTTCAGTGGTTGGTAAAAAAAATAAATAAAGGAATCAATGCATATTGGATGACAGAAGTGAAACATTCAAATACTACACGAGGCGTTGAGTATTTGGAGTTAATTCTAAGCCCAAAGAATGCTTTTATTTGTTTTTAAATCACAAACTAGAAATCTCAAAAAAACTTTGTCATTCAAATTGAGTGTTTTGTATCGAGACTGACATGGCAAAAAGTTCGAAACTGAAGCTTTCAAAGACAACGATGAGGCGATGATAAGCCTATATTATAATTTAAAACTAATACAAAAAAGGTTGGGAATATGAGCACTACAGAAGCCTTTAACTTATAAAAATTATTGTGTGCTAGTGGTTTTTAATTTACCTGCGACAGACTATCGGATATTCCCATATTTCGTAAAGCGCTGTTGAATCAACAAACCATAAAATTACAAAGAAATAAGACCTAAAAACTCGGTGAAAGCGCGGTTAATTACCGAATCAGACGAATCTTACTCAGTGTATAAATCATTTTGGTGAAAACTCGGATAGCACGTGGTTTGTTACATGTCTCCATCACAGCTATGATTGAGCTCGTCACGCAACTAAGAAGAAGCGTGTTCCGTGACGAACCCAAGCGGGATATATTTTCGACGAGAAAAATTTTGTTCGAGAATAATCATTCACAAAATAGATCATTATAAAGTTTCTTGCGGACTTTTCGTGGTGTCCCCCTCTACACAATCGTCTCATCCTGTGGTCAGAAACGCAAACCTACTTTTTTTTCCTGTAAAAAAAAAGAATTTTAGAACGAAAAAGTAAATTCAAATTTTCCCGTGATCTGACTGATGTTGTGCACATCTTTGTTGTACATGTAGCAGACACCACAAGGGTTTTTTACGCCCTTAGAGGACTCAATTAAAATACAATAACACTGTCCCCTAATAGCGTGACCTTCGGTCACGCTCGCGTAACGCTGGTAACTAAAATAACGAGACTATATTATAACAACGACAACAACAACTTCATTTATTCGTACCCTACATTAATTACATGATACAGTACATATATATATATATATATATATATAATACGGAAAATGGAGAGAGATCAGGCTGCCCATAATAACCATTGAGAGCTGTAAAGATAGTACGGCCTTACTTAGGTTATTAATAAATTATTATATTCAAGGGCCAGGTACCACACACAGGTACTACATACAGGAACTGAGAAGGAGCTATAGTTCGCTGAGAGGTAAACTCCCAGCACTCATGGCGGAAGGTCCAAGAAAAGCTCTAGGAGACGTCACACCACCTTCTGGAGAAGATGAAGAAGAAGGAAAAGAAGTAACTCTTGATTTTGATGAAGACGCTTTGACAGGTGAGCGTAATGCGGCTTTCTCTTGAAAAGAAGGCTTCGTAATCATGTTTCTTGTCTGTCCTGAAACTATCAACACGCTGCTTGAATTTTTTTCTTTAGCGATTCTGTCTTTTTTTTAAATTCTTTCGGATAACATTTATTTGTGCGATGGCAATTCGTAATGGATTAAATTCTGAAGGGACGAGATTTGTCATTTCCCAATATTTTCTTGGGAAGAGCTGTCACAGTTCATGTAACAGAGCCACTCTGGAGGAAAGCTTGATAAATTGTTGAGATCAAATTATTTTATACTCTTTTTATATTATTTTTTTGATACCTTGATCACGATCGATAAAAATTTTCAGTTTAATGAATGTTGCTTAAATTCTTTTGTTTCACCAACAGTTGAAGTTAACAAGAATGAAAGTAACGAAGGTCACACAAAAGAAGATCTTTTAAACGCCATCCACTTTTACACGGAAAAAATTAAAGAGAAATGCGAAAACAAAGAATTGAAGGCCAAACTGTACAACGACAGGGCAACAGTATATTTCAAATTAGGTAAGAATTTAGCCTTCGTATTTTCACATTCTTTTCATTTAACTTGGAAAACGGCCTCACAGAGTTCTTGAGGTAGTCATGAACACATGTCTGTGTCTAGAAGATCTCCACGGCATCTATGTCTTGTATTACTCCCACAGAACTTCAGCCAATTTCCTTTGTTTCCTCCATCGTCTATAATCATCTTTCGGCCTAACATCTCTACTGTTTCTTCGCTTTCCATCGCTAAGCTCAGATACTCAAATCGACTTCATAATACTCAAAGCAACATAATTTACACTCAGAGAAACTGATTAGTTGATTTTTGGAAACATAATTTTAAAAATGTATAGCTACATGTTTGTGTATTCTGAAAGGAAAATGTGGGTTCCGTATTCCGAAATACTATATTATATTTCTTATTTTATAAAGTAGTGCTTAGTTGACCCATATATTTTAGAATTTAATTGTATTTCGGTCTTTTCTGTCACTCAGAGAGTCAGCCATGTAACTCGATTAACGAGCTACGCCCTTGTTTCCTTCTTTATGTTTGGTTTTGGTAACTACGGTTGACTAAAAAAATTATACATTTCTCTTTAAAAGGCAATTACCAGGATTCACTGGGAGATGCAACAACCGCCCATCATCTACAACCAACATATCTGAAGGCAATTGTTACAGGTATTTTTTTTTTCTTTTTCTTTGGGAAAAGTAAAAAACTACCCCACGCCATACGGTGCATTGATTAGTTGGACATCACTTGACTAGTGTAAATGGAATGAGGCGCTGTTCCTCCGACATACTTTTTCTTTTTGGCTTAAATTTTCCATTTCAGAACGAGAAATTGACGTGAAACTGTAAATTAAAAGTCGCCGATACTTATCTTTCGAAGTAAAGGCGCTGTTGCTCCGACATACTTTTTCCTTTTGGCTTAAATTTTCCATTTCAGAACGAGAAATTGACGTGAAACTGTAAATTAAAAGTCGCCGATACTCATCTTTCGAAGTAAAGAGCGCGGGAAAATTTTCTATCTCTTACGGACAAATTTGAGAATCATATTTCCATATGACGCACAGCTCTTTTCAAAGTTTCCCTCGCAAGATGTCCTGTTTCAAAAGCGGACAAGCCAAAAAAATCTAAAATCTCTTTTTCACCTAAGCGAAGGGAAACTGTATTTTAGAGAACACTTTTTCGTATGAATCTGGTCTAACAGGATTCTCTGTGTTATTTTAAATAGGAGCAAGTGCCTGTCTTGCGCTGAATAAGCCTGAAGAAGCGCTCAGATGGTGTGTTCAAGGATTAGCTGTATCTTTTTGTCAGACCTAAAGAGAGAGTGTGGTTTCTCTTAGTATGCCAAGAGCCAAAGTTGAAATATTTAGTATTAAGACTTAGGGCACGCACACCAAATGTAACCTTTTCGGAATTTTGAAAACATCTTGCCTCTTCAGAGTGTTCAAATGAAAAACGCTCTCCAATATAACGGAGTGAATGTCATCGATCACATACAAAACAATAAATCTAGAAACTGAATGTTGAAAGCCACAAACACAGAGCCTAATTTCTTGACCACTAGTATTCCCGCCAACTGTTGAAAAGACTACAATTAAGAAATTTCGGATGCGTATAAATGCAGTCCTAAAGCAACATTCTCATTTGCCGGTGTTATTTGCGCCTTAACTGTATGTAGATTCAAAGAAACGATACCCTGCGGCGACTGAGAAACAGGTCATTCTGGGAATGTTCCAAATCCGGAAATGTAAGTGTATGGTCTAGTAAATGGCTTTGCCTTTTTCATCTTAGTTCTCATAAGAAGTCATAAAAAATTTCTAGCATCCTCTGAAATGACACACGATTATTTAAAAAACTATTCAGTAATGTTACATGGCATCTGTTATTCTGGATCCCTCCGTGACTTTTCGGAAGTTTTCCTAAAATTCCAACGAAGAGAGACCGAAAACACCTCGAGAAATTGTAAAGTTCTTTCGGTCGACTTTTACCTTTACAACTAAAATTTTTTTATTGATAAGGTACCATTGACACCACATTTCGAGATAAATAAAGATTTCGGGCTTCACGAGAACATAACAGTTGAAAATTCGGTTTGATATGTTATAAAAACAACAAAATCGATAAACACTTCCTTTAGCTGGAGGATTTTTGCTAAATATTTTTATGCTTCTTTACTCATGAACTAAGTTAATTCCAGTGTTGCAAACGAACGATGGTCATTCAGTGTATAGTGATACCTTAATGTGCCGTTGAAATAGGCGCCAGGAAAAAGTATTCATTCTTATAACATACATCGTAGTTGACCATCCAAGAACATGGGGATTTCCGACAACGCCATTGAATAGTATATCTAAACAAGGAAATTGTAAACTATGAAATAAACAACAGGCAGTTTGTTCGACGTTTGATTATCGAGACCACAAAAATGAGCGTTAAAAGGTCGGAACAAGCAAATAGCCCCGAATTTTTTTCGTTTTTTTTTTTTTTTTGATTTTTTAAAAAAATAAGGTACTTTGGAGTTTTGGACTAAATTATGATTTTGGAAACGACTGATAAAACTCGATTTTCACTAACTGTGAAGAGACTGCATCGTAAGAAAACACACTTATTTCCACTTAAAAAGCCTTTGGCCTTTGGTAAACCAAGGTACAGTTGCAACTTTCATTTTTAAATTTGAAAAACTCACATTAGAACCGAAATAGTTACGCAATTTTTATGCGGTTATCTTTCCCTTTTTTTCAAACCTAAGACGAAGACAGTAATCGATATAATAAAGCAAGACCTCCACAATGCAAGAGAACTGGGAGACAGGGCTGGCGAGGGACATGCCTACCACGATCTTGGCATGGCTTATTACCAGCTGGGTGATATCAATCAAGCCACAGAGTACCACAAACAACATCTTACTATTGCCAAAGTACTGGAAGACAGGGAAGGCGAGAGAAGGGCCTACCACAATCTTGGCTTGGCTTATCGCGTGCTGGGTGACTTCAATCAAGCCATAGAGTACCACAAACAACAACTTACTATTGCCGAAGAACTG